ATGAGATTAAAGTCAGAATTCTGAGATTAAAGTCAGAATTCTGAGGGGAAAAAAAATCAGAATTCTGACTTTAATCTCATATTATACTGAAATAAAATTTAAAAATCAGTTAACTTTTTTTCAGTGGCCCTAACCCTCTCCCGTATGACTCAGTAGCAGTATTATTTTTTTTTTGCCCTTTCAAGTCACCAACAGGCGGCGCTGTTTCACCAGGTCAATATTAGCAAAGTGACGCACGTTAAATAGTTCTGACCAATTTATTTCCCAAGACAGTGTTAGTTGATTTTTTCCCCTTTCCTTATTCTTTTTTTTTTATGTGATCCTCTCCCTGTTTTTATTTTTATTTTTTTCGTTTCCAGGTGAGATCAGGTGAACAGGAAGGAGGAGCCTTACAAACATTTGAGGATCTGCAGACGCACGTCATGACAGGCAGGAGAGAGGAGAACTTCTCCTGTTGTAAACTTGGAGAAGGAAGAACATGAAGCACGCAGCTATAAAGCGGAACCCGAGGGGATAAAAAACACAGAACTGAGCGTAAAGGTAGCTAGAACCTAAAGACTGATCCTTGTCATGATGACTCATGTCAACGTTTGAACTTTGCTGACTAAACGGTGAGATTGGAGCTTGTTGAAGGGACGGGGAGCCGAGGCTGAGGAAGCAAAGTCTAAGTTTTAGGAATGCACGCTGAGCTGCAATAATGATATTGGCATGTATTCTTTTGGTTGGGTTTCTATTATCATTACAAAATAGAAATAAAGTCGTATATATATGTTATTTTAATTAATATCCAATGTTGTAGTGATCTGCTTAATTGAAAGCTTTGACTTGAATTGCCATTTCATTTAGCCCTCTCTCTGAGCTGCAGCAGTTGACCAAGTCTGAACTTGCAGTCTGAATCCAGGCAGTATTTCTATGCAGGTGTGGGTCTCTAGGTGTAGCAGTCTCACCCATCCTCCTGACTAAAGGGCATAATCAACACTGATATTATAATGAGGCTCTATTATGTGCAGGGTAAAGCTAATAACAGTGTAATTACTGATGCATGTGTGTGTGTCTTCAGATGGCACAGCAGGAGGAACCTCTGTATGATTTCCCAGAGCCATCCCAGCCATCAAAGCAAAGGCTGCCTCAAAGAGGAAGGAGCTCCCTGAGAAGCATCAGTGTGTTGGACCGACTCCTGCTTACAGTTCCTGTTTGGTTGCAGCTGTCCATCAATCCGGCTAATGCTCTGCACATTCTGCAGAGGGAGCCTCCTGGGGTCTGACATATTTCTAAGCAGCATACACACACAGCGCTGGCAATGAATTTTTGGCAACTTACAGATTATTTCTTGTTTTTTACTTTTTGTTGTCCTACTTTCATGCTCAGAAAATTAAATTAGTCTTTTTTGAGTAATGTGGAGTAAATTTGACTCATTCTTCTTTGCAGAATTGGTCAGTTCAGTCACAGTTAAAGGGGAACGCCGTTTTTTTTTTTTACATTGGGCCCTTGATTTTACGTTATTACATCATATCTGCATATCCATGCAGTTATATCCAAGTAACGTCTTCCTATGGGCAAAGACTTGAAGGCAAAAACTGAACTGTTTAGAATTTATACTTTATGGTACGCCAGTATTCATAACATTTAGGCGAATCACTGTCCCCCAGACATCGCAGTTATATTTTTTATATTTATATCTTTTAAAAACAAAGCGTTTTTAAACAAAGCGCGCTGGACTGGAGTCGTAAAAGGAAGCCTGGGCCACAGGCTTCTACGTTCTACCTCTTCTATTCATTCGGCGACCTAATCTGAATAGTTCAGTTCCATTTCGAGAGCGAGATCCTCTGTGGTAGTAGCACTAGACATCTTCCAGGCATGTGAGTAAAACTAGCAGCAGTTCAGCGGACAGAAAGAATGAACGGTAAC